TAGAAAAAACATATCAGAATAACTTTGGATTTCAAAATTACCCCTTCATGTGCTGTACCCTCCCATACTTCTTCACAACTGGAAGGGCCTTACACTGAAGCCCAGGTATTCCACAGTACTCTGAAGTCCAGACTCAACCCTCTGAGGTCAACAGCACAAGACTCCAGAATATGCTCCTAAAAGACATTTTCTCTCTTGCTATTTTTGTAGCTTAAATATATCTATAAAATACTTAATGTGCTTAGGAGTATTATCCTTCTTGTTCAGCTCTCACCAACTAATGAGATAAGTTGTGTCCCCCCTTCCCCTTTTATTTTTTTTAATAATACATATGGATTGCTTTATGTAGCTTTAGACAACAGTGTTTTCTTTTCCAAATGACTATACTCATCTGAATCCTCTTCATGTAGTCCTTTCCCAGTTTCCCCTCTTATCACTGCTGCTTTCTTCTGTCCTTTTCTATCCGCAACTCTTTCTTAGAAGAAGAAAGATCTTAAACTAAGCTTGAGCTCTAGCTATGAGCAAGTGACAGCAGATACATTTGATACAAACATTCTACATGAAGCCACAGATTTCATCTGTAATCTCCATCACTTTATTTAACAAGCCAAACTGAAAAATTAAGAACCATAATTAAAGAGATAAGTCAAGCACACTTCAAGTTCAGTTCATCTGAATTGATGGGTCTTCTCTGTGCCACAACCTTTTAGAAGGAAAAACTTCATTATAAAGAGAAAAAAAAAAAACAAAACCCAACCATCTTGCAAACTAAACTATCTTAAATACTCCCTGTGAAGGATAAAGCCCACAAGCAATGGAGAACTATCACATCTGCAGATTACTCAAATTCACCATATTTGCAGATTACCCAAGTTTACCAAGTTTGGTCCATAGAACCCAACCTAATTCCTCTCACTAGGAGTAGGCAGCTAGAGCTGCTAACTTTGTCTTTTTTGTCTTTCATACCCATCAATATACCCATATGTTTTTGCACACAGACACCCACATTAATAACCTGGTAGCAGATCCTTAGGCAATTTGTTATTCTCTGATCATAGCATACTGAAATAATAGTTTATTCTGCATTATTCTGGAATTATTCTGCATTCTTTCTGGAAGAAAATCAAACTCTGATTTCTAAAACCTTTACATTATTGCACATAACCCTTTGGATTTGGGCAAAAGTGTGTCTGTGAAGATTTTAGCTCCCTATTTTGTCTGTATTTTATCATCCCTTTCAAATGAAGGGACTTAAATCAATTTCTTGATCAAAAACTGTCTTGTATTTTGACTGCCAAAAAAAAAAAAAAATCCATGCTTTTGCTCAGTATTTGCAAGTAGAACTACTGCCACAAATAAATTAATCTTTCCAGAATGCTTTGGCAGATGGTTCTCTCTTCAAAGGATAGAAGAATTCATGTAATTGAATCTGATTGCCTGTAAAAGCAAGAACCAACATCACTGACATGGGTGGGAGAGCAAGCGTAGGTTTTTTTTCCCCTTAACAGCTCTGACAATAAACTAATCTTGGCCTCCAATTCTCATCCTGCAGTAGAACTCAATTCTCCTTAAGCACAACTACTGGTCTCCCAAATTACACATAATTTGGGCAAATGAAATCCAGGGAAAAACCCTGAAGATTTTTACTGGGTTTGAACTTGTCAGACCAGTTACCTACATGTCACTCAGAGGTGAAAATCAAGCACACCATTAATTATTCCACTAATCTAAAAAGGTGTATTGGTGAAGAAGTACTTATTGGGAAAAAAAGGCCAGCCACAGCCACACAGTGTTGTGACGTGGTTTGTGGCTACCTTGCTCCCAGCTACAGCATCAGTTACACACCTTTTAATTCTGTAATTTGGCAGTACACAAAAGCACAGACCTAAATCATTCCACCAGTTCCTTTCCTAAAAACCTAACAGAATGCACATGTACAATAAAAAAAAAGTATTATAGAGGATGAGGCACAGAAAGCACAACTGCTACTGCTTTATGTACAGGATCTGACAAGTTTTAGCAGTTACAGAAGAAGACTGAAACTGCAATTCCCCAAAAAGAAAAGTTAAAGCTATTCCTACAGATGTTCAATGGAAGAGATTTCAAATAAACTAGTACCATTTCTAATCTAGTTTTGTCCACCACTTGGCTAAATACCAAAGGAAGTTACAGACTTTTGGTAACAATTAGGTCTCTGATGTTTTAATTCAAATTATGTTGTAAAATCCATACTATTTGAAGGCTCCCATTAGAGAGTCATATTTAACTCTGTATTGCAAGCTAATGGCATGAGCAAAAGGCAGCAGTGCAGCAATTTGGTGTACCCACAGGGGAAATGAAGTACTCCTATCCTGCCATCTCTCTCAGTTGATATACAAGAACTCACTAAGTCTAAAAGGAGACACATTTTTCCCTCAAAACCAAACCAAACAAAAAAGCCCCAGAACCTCAAACCCAACAGAACAGATACAAATGCTGAGAGGCAGGAAGAAAACAAAAAAAACAACAACTAAAAAGAATCATACATACTCCAAGCATGACAAGAATCACCAGGATTAATAGAGAAGTCACAAGTTTGATGTGAATGGACTGGTTCACCCTCTTACCCCATTCCCTCAGCCAGCCATCCCTGGCCATAGGACAAATAAGCCTGTGAACACAACTCTGCTGTCCCCATTTACCAATCAGTTATAAGAAAAATGGTTGAAACAGGTATTTTTTGGCTACTGGAACGTAAAGTGACAGAAATTGGTTGGGTTTTATTTATAGAAGTTATTCTACCCAAGCCCATAATGGCTGACTGATACTACCACAGCCTTTAACTCGCATTTCTCCCCTGCCGGCTCAGAACTTGTAACCTCCATCCCTTTCACTGAGCACCTTTGCCTGACAATGCTGCACATAACACAGTCCTAAAATCTCCTTACAGAACGATGCCAAAACACCACAGAGCACACCAAATGTGACCACATCTGCCTTTTTTTTTTCCACCCGTTGAAAAGCCACAGTACAATGTGAACCTTCCACACAAGGAACCTTAACGTAAATGATAACTACCACTAGCACAAGGAATACTTCACTGTTTTTTCAGTGATACTCAGAATCATGGGCTACACTTTACCATGTGAAACTAGACAGGAAAGCCTATCAAAGTACATGAAAATACCAACAGTGATATCTCAGCTTCTGATCAGTTGTGTTGAAGTTTCAAAAGGACAAGATGACCATCAGCACACTATACAGTGGACATTCATGTTCTCAGTTTTTGTCTTCACCTAAAAATCACTGATTTTCAGGAGCTTTATTTTAGGTATTGTGGACGTCTGAGGACAACTGAGATGTAAACAGTGGTTTTGAAGCTCTACCCACACCTGTTGGATTCCCCCAAACTATGACTAGTCTGACCACAAAATTAATTTCAGAATCAACTTAACTATGAGGTGACATAAAACAAAGAAGACGGAACTCCTTACAGCACAAGCACACATACAGCTTACCTGCTGTTAAGTCTCAATGAAAGAAATCATTATGCCTTACATCTGTTCTAAACTCAAGCATTCCTAACTATCTTCTCCATGCCTTAAAAACTGTTAATACAAAACAAATGTAAACTGTCAACACGGCAAGTATCAGTATCAACAAAGTACTTCCTTTATGAACAAGACACACATGTTAGCTGCTGCAGAGGAAAGAGTGCTTTTGTTTCGTTCCTAAGTTGATGGAGATCCACTGTGTGTTATTTTATATCGTGCAGGAAGAAGGAGTAGTTACAAGTTCCAACAAATGAAGTTTTGCCAAGACAGATGAACCTGCCTTGCTTCCTATGCTATAGAACAATCGTTTTTGCAACACGTGGGCTGAGAAACAATCACATATAGCACAAGAGCCTTTGCTTTGTAGACAGCTATATCTCATTAAGAAAACAACTGCAAGTTTATTATGCTGACAAAGCTGACTTGTCCATGTTTAGGCTCTGACTATGATCTATGATTCTATGACTTGGTTATAAACAAGCACAGTACAAAATCTACCTACCATACATGAGCCCTTTAATAAAGGGATATGGCCCATAGGGAAAGAGATTCCGAGATACAGAACAAGACTCTAGGCTGTTAAAAGGACCACATTTCCATACTGAAGATAAGCCCAGCATCTGACTGTAGTAAACATGCACAAGCCACAGTTTGGCTCCCTTGGGAAGGGTTTATGATCCCAACAAGGTCCCTTACAAAGAACTCAAAGAAAACCAAACCAAACAAAAAACACCAAACAGAAAGAGCCACTACACACGGAAAATGAATAAAAATGTGCATCATATCCTACAAAGTTGCAGAGGAGAGGCAAGTCTGTTCATTAACTTGCACTGTTTCAATTAAAAAAGCTTTTTTCTGAAGGAGGGGAAGGGGGTAGGAGGTTGCAGTTTTCTATGTTCACTTAACTAGGAGCAAGCTCCCTCCCTTTGTCCCTCCCCTACAACTACTAGCTTCACACATCTGCATTGTTACCTTCACTTTTTCTCTTCTCAGGCAGCAGAAAAGACAATTTTCATCAAAAGACCAATCAGAAACACCTTCAGGCTCACAGTCTGTAAATCAGAGGAATAGCAAATTACTTCATATTCATATAGTGAGACACAACTGGAGCCAAAAGAGAAATGCCAAATTAAATACCTGTTTCACCACATTCTTGCCTGCATTCTGAGCATGCAGGCTTCATTTCAGCCATTTTTCTAAATCCCCAGACTACCAAACTGTACACATTTTATCTATGCACAACCAATCTGTTTTTCCGAGCACTGCCAAATACACTCCCAGCTACATAAAGATGAACGCACACTCATTAGTAATTTTAGCCAATATGAAACTAACTGTGAGCACTGCCTGGGGGAGGGGGGAAAAAAGCACAAATCACCACGGTAACACACATTTTCTAGAGGCAGAGCTGGGGCTGCTTCTGTCATTAGAAATGCAGAACAAGATACAAACATAGAGATTGAATACCTTTAAACAAACTGAGATCTTTTAATAATCCAGGTCCAAACAGGCCTTCTAGAATACTTTCAAACCCTAAAAGCAAATAAAAGAATTGTTAGCTTTCTAGATTAAGTACGTCACTACAAGAATATTCACAATAGCAGTTCTATATTTATCTGTTCCAAGAACAGAGCTCAACGTGTTTTCTCTAAGTATCACAAGATGCATGGGTCAATTGTGATGACTGAACTCCTGACAAATCACAGCACAATCCAGAGAGCCCACCAGCTCCTGCACTTCGGTAAACAGCGAGGTTAAAAACAAAGAACATGATGACATTGAAATAAACCATTTCAGAAAGTAAATAGGAAGTTGTAGGTTGTAGTTCTACAACGTGACCAGATAATTGCTGGACAAAATCTCTTGTTTAAACCTCTGAACTAAGGTATGCTTTCCCAATTAAAAAATACTTTCTTCCATCTGAGTGGCATTCAGTTACTTTTCTGAATTTCAGCAAATGTTAGAATCAGTGTTTCCTGAAGAGTTACAGGTTTGAGGAGAGAAAATTCAAAGGAAAGGGATTCAAAGTGGCATGCTACTAAGGAACCAAATTCCAATCACAAATTCGCATCCAAGATATACAGCCAGATTTACTTCAATGCCATGATTTGCACCTTACTTGAAATAAATCTCATCAATTTCAGTTTATTCCAAAAGAGGGAAAACCTGTACCAAAATTCCTGCCATTATTTGGAAATGTTAAATTAATACTGCACTAACCCCTTGCTGGCAGTAAAATCTACAGAGCTATTAACTACCCAATACTGTGAGAAGACAGGTTAGCAGAATGAATATGAGAAATATAAAAACTACTATAAGGGGGAGAGACCAATTCTACCTGTTGAGAAAAACATACTCCCAATATAACCATAAAATGCATGACTACAACATACTGTAGGTAATTAATAGGGTAATTTTTGCCCTATTAATACTTTCGCTTTGTAGGTTTAATAATGGTTTGCACATAGATAGTGGCAGCTTCTCCTACTTGCCTGAATCTTTGAGAGGCAGAAGAAGAAATGAAGGGAAAAAGAACAGGCAAAAATATGGTTTTAAATTCAGAGAAACTTGCATGGGTGAATCAGGGACAAATAAATTACCTGAAGTATCCATTTTAAGAAACCAGTCGAAATATAAATGGATCACATCTATGAAGGAAAACGGTTATTACATTGCAGTAATTCTAAAATAACTCTGACTTTATGCAGATCAAAGTTATCTTCTGGACAGCAGTCCTCAAAAGGAAAAGACAAGTAGCGTTACACCCCTCTGGGTGTCAGCAAGAGTGCCAGTGCACCAACGTCTTCAGGTACCAGATGTGGAAACCTACAGAATTTGCAGCCTGCAAATGACTGATGGCCAGAGCATTGTTGGGGTACATCACCATGGGTGATCTAATCCCTATCAGAGGCTGGCACTAAAATACCTAATTTCATAAAGGATCAAATGGGAAAAGAAAAAAATAAAAAGGAAAAAATAAAGGTGTAAGAGGGCTGTTGAAAGTAATGGTCAAGAGCAAAGAGAAATAGGGAGGGACTGGAAAACAAGGTGGAAGAGGAGAAACTGGAAAAACATCCCATTGAACAGCACCTTGTCAGGCAGAGAAGTAGCACTGCCTCCAAAAAAAGCCAATTCAGGCTTCAGGAAGTGGCAGGAACAGTGGGAAAGGGCCGACCAACCTGACCTAGAAGAAAAATAGGAGAATCAGGGTATTGACCCGTAGATTTTTAACACTGACTCTCTTATGGGTAGTGACCCCTCAGAATTTGTATCTGAAATGAAACCTTAAGAAAAACAGGTAGCCAACCTCATTCTTTTTGTTGAAAAAGATTATATTATATATATATAAATAAAGAAAGCTCAGAAATTTTACCCAAACTCACCGCTCTTAAAATAGTAACTGCCAATGACTCATGCCCCACAGTTTGCCATGCATGCAATTGCACACTGAAGTCCCTGCCAAGTTTTACAGCTTGGATATTGTACAATCATAGTTTGCTAGCCCACTGTTCTGAGTGATGCTAATGCCACTCGGGTTTTATTAATATTAAATATTGGATTTAGCAGTTGCATAGCAACAGCAGAATGTCTTATGTGCAATGCTTGACATTAAAAAAGGCAAATAAGGGAAGTATGAATGTATTCAAAATTATACTAAAGACTGACAGAACCACCATGAAGCTGAGCCCTACTCCCCCCAGATGCAAAGTGCAGCGCAGTAAAGACAGTCTAAGCCCTGTGCTGTAGTATTCAGTCACTGAGGACTCCGAAAGAGCAACTGTGTACAGTTAATCATGCATAATACATTGAAAATAAAATCTTGAAAAAGGAGCTGCCTACTTTTTATAGTATTTTTTTCTCTCTATTGTCACTGCTCTTAGAAGCTTGAAAAGAACATTTCTTTTCCCACCGATTGTCCTTTTCCATTTGGCAGATGATATTTTCCTGCATTTCAAATGGAAGAGAAATTAACATGGCTGCCTCCACTAAATCCCGGTTTTCATGTTTCCACCATCTATATTTCGGTGTCTGACAGTTCACAGCCGCTGAAGAGCAGAGCCAGTGGAAAAGTTGCAGGAATAACAGAGGAGAGAAAAGGGGATGAAGATCCTGATATTTTAGAGCTTTCCCTTAGGTAAGTTCTTCACAATTAAAGCAGCCATACTTTTAACCCTTATAACTGCTGACTTATACAAGGGAAAACATCTTTTTTTCCTAAATTCTTACACTAAGACCCAAAAGGTTTTATTTTCTTTTCAAAATACAACATTTTTGAAGTGTAAAACACTTTGGCTACATGAGAAGGCTCTCCAGCAAATGAAGAGTTACCAAAAAGAAACCAAATTCCCAGAAAGAACAAAGAAAACCCTTAACACTGAAGCAAGACTAGAATAACTTAATACTTTTTCACCACTGTTAGCTCTAAAAGTAAAGCAATATTCAAGAAACACTATTCTCTAAGGAGTCCTCTGACAAAACCCAGGACATGGATGTGCCATTTTTATGCTACAAGTAACAAGCACAGAAATTAAAAGTAAAAAAATAAAAAACAAAAATTAAAGAGAAAAGTTAACGATGCAGTTTTCAGCATGGTTACGTTTCACTAGTTTTAGCTCTGCGCCTAAACAGTTCACTTTGCATCTTTTCTGGCATTTATGTCCTCCCTTCTGTAACCCCTATTTTAAGTCATAAATTTTAAACTGTTGGTTAACAATTTAACACAATGGTTTGGCTTCAAGCCTTAGAAATAAAATTATCCTGTTAGAGCCTCTTTTGCCTTAAAATTGAGAGCTCTTGTCATGATTAAGTAGCTACTGGGCCCTTTGAGATAACTCTATTAGAGCGTTATCAGAGTCCAAGGGAGGACTTCGCTGATCTCTAGCAGTGTGTGTGAGCCAAAGACATATTCTCCCCTTTAAAAAAAACAGGAATGCAAAATCAGGAGACAGGGATGCATTTCTGGACTGCCACTGACACAGAGCCTAGCTTTTCAAACAATGCTTTCTTTCCCTGCGACAGCACAGCTCAAACATACCCTTTAATACTCACTACATAATTCAGCCCTACACATGGATCTCATCAAAGCAGTAAAGCTTGTACTACTAACCAAAGTCAAATCATTTTGAGGGTAGTAAAGAAAAGAAAAGCTACAACCTGTCTTTACTATTACATAAATCGAACTCAAAAAAAACCACAACAAAATCAACACAGTAAGGGCCTTGAAGGGTGAAAATAAAGCATACATAGTTATCAACTCTAATTTGTGAACATCAATTTAATCTGTGAATATCAATTTGTATGAAAGATCTCAACGGATGAAATAAGCACTAGCCAGGGCAGTAGCTAAGTACAGCAGATATTGTAGATCAATTGCAACAAGAAGGCAACTGATTCATCAACATTTATCTCTAATAAGCAATCAGCCCAATAAATAGCAACTTGAACTTTAGAAGAACAACTTCAAATGGCTGGAAATTGAGTCAAATCAACTAAGACAACAGTTGCTTATATCTTTTGTTTAAATTTCTTGACTATTTAACTTTTACCTAAAACCCTCAAAAAATATCATGGGGAAAAAGAAAACAAACAAAAAAACACCAAAAACCTAACAAAATCCAAACCCACAATGCAACTAAGAGTGAAAGCACAAAGAAGACAAGAGGCTGGGAAGAGGGGCAGGGGGATTCAGAGCAGAGAACATCAATAAAAATTCAGAAATGTTACAAAGGTCAGAACAAAGAAAAAAAAAACCAAAAGGCACATATGAATAGTACCTTAAAAAAAAAAATCTATAAGAATATGGTAGCATATGAACAAACATTCAATATAATGGCATATGATTATCCAACACAATCCAGCAAGGTGATATTATTTAACATTTTTAGGATAACAGTCTTAAAATGCTACATAGGCTATTTTAGCACCCCTACCCCCTCCTCTCCCTCCCTGGGAGTTACTCAAAGAGTGTTTGCAGCAACATTTAATTCCAGAAAGGCCTGGAATATTGAGAAAGTTCCAATGGGCCGGGGGGGGGGGGGGGGGGGGTGGCAGAAGTCATCCCTTTGAAATGTCCTTTTGAAAAACATTTAACTGGGCTCTCAACTTGGTAAAGGTTTTAGAAACCAAGGAACAGCTCAGAGGACTACAGAGGATTTAACAGACATGGTGTCACTCAACATGGGCTAACAGCAATTATTTAATGACTTTAATGAAACTGAAGATTTTATTAACAGTAACAGATTTAATATAACATTTTTAGATTTCTGAAACATTTTTGGGCCAGCACAACACATTTTGACTAAAACCAGCTGAGGAGAAGGCATTGAAAAAGAAAAACCAAACCAAGCCAAAATCAGCCAAATACATATAAATCAGATTAAAAGGCAATTAAGTGACAGCTCTTTAAGTGTTGTTGTCAATAGGAAACCACTGCTAGTGAGCTTCATCAGGTATTGGTTCTTGGCCATATGCCATTTCATGTTTTAGTCAGTGACTTGGAAAAAAGCAGTCGCTAAATTTGCAGGAGATACAAAGACAGGAAGAACAGTAAATAACAAAAGCCCAGGTCACAGAGGCTGCTTACCAAAGCAAACGCAATTAAACACTACTTTGAAAGGGGGCGGAGGGGAATGGAGAAAGCCAAAAAATCACACATTTAGCAACAGGATTGTTAAAGACAACCCCAGATCCAGCAGATGAAATTGGAAGCTGATCAAACTTCAGCCAGACAATAAGACAAGGGTCAAAGTGAAGACAGAAGACATGCACTCTAGGACAAGACCAACACTTGCCCTGCTCTAGGATTCTGGAGGTGTTATTTAGGGAAGTAAGGGCTGGATGCTAAGATCTGTTCTCCTTGTACTCTCCCCCAGCAATTACATTTATGTTAGGAGTCTCATTAACTAGTAGGAAGCATGAGCTACCACCATCACATCAGGTTTTTATTGGATTTCTCATGCCTAGATTTTCTGGTCAAGATTGGATATATTTATCCACAGCTATGGGATTTGAAGGAGGAATTAATTCAGAAAAATCCTACTGTCTATGTGTAACATGGGAATTCTGACTCTTTCAGAACAAAAATCTATTAAACTTGAATGTTTCAGTCACAGGCATCTTAATAGAAAAGCAAGCCCAAGCAACAAGGGAGGGGGAAAAAAGTCACAGGACAGTTATTAATATATACCAAGTCTCAGGACATGCATATAATTATAAGTTGTGAATATTCTTTAATTCATGCAACAAAATAAAAGAAACTCCCATTCATCTATGATGAAAGATCTCATTATGTGAAGGGAGTCCAATTAAGTACTCTAACTACAAGTTAAACCAACTTTCTCTGAGCTTCCTGTGGAACAAAGAAAAAGCTGCGCATCTTCAGCAAGTTTTCAAAGTTCATTCTTCTGCATTTTTTTTTTAATGAAACTGCACTGCTCAGGGACTTGCTGCAGATATCCCTCCTCCAGAGACAACAGATGCTTTAGGAAATCCAAGGACTTTCCAGGGACCATAAATACCAACAACGTAGCTCTGCAAGAGCAATACAGACACATGAATACAGAAGAAGAGAACTAAGTATGTTAAGATAGGTACTGTTTGAAAGAACAGATATAATGAAGTTCTATACAGTAATACTTAGCTCTTCAATAGCTTTTTTCATCAGAACACCTTGTATGCCAAGACAGAACACAAGGTATCACCTGCTGAGGTCCATAAACAGGCCCTTGGAGTTCAAGAGAGAGTCCCGTGGCCTTAGGCTAATGCTTCGTTCACTGTAAAACAGCATCTCCAGTAGAGAAGTTTCATTTGGAACTATCAAGAAGCTGACAAGGTACATGCTCTGGCAAACAGCCACTTCACTGTTACAGTAACTTACCACAGCAGTAAGCTGAGAAATCAAAAAAGGGACAAGAAAACTACTAAAGCAGACAAGCACCATTGATAGAAAAGCTTCTGGCCATCCATCCTGCAAGACTTCATTAAAATTCCACTACTGGTCTGTAATTTTAATAAAGAAGCAGCTGCAGCAGGCCATCCTGACTCTTCTCTCCATCCCTCTCTACCATGCAGTTCCTTTTCCTCTGAGAATCAAGCCTAAGCACATTTTCTCTGATGTAATATCAAACTCACAGCAAGGCATTTAAAAGTTAATGAGCTACGCATGACAGAAGAACAGCTACATATCTAAACCACAGTTGCAATGCACTTGCTTTCATAAGAGAAGAGTGCTCTGCCAAATGCCCTAAAAGAGAGATCACTTCCCTCTACAGGGGGAAATGGAGGGGCAAAGAAAACAAGTTATCAGGCTGGTCTCCAGTGGAAAAAAAAAATGGGAGCAGGTCTCCCCATCCTATGTTAGCACTCTAACTAGCAGCTTATCTCACTGATTACAATTGAAAAGTCACCCCAAAAAAAACCAAAAGTGACAAGTTACAAAGCTTGTTGCCAGAGTACAGCAAGGCAAAAGGCATACTATGGATCATCTCCCGTCCCCATCCCACAGGCAGTATTTTTGTGTGTGTGTGATCTGATACCAAGTAGAGAATCACATGAAGGCATGCAACCTTATCTCTAATCAGAAGCCTCAGCAGCAGAATTCAAGAAAAGCCAAGGACTCTGCAGCAGCTCAACATCACCTCAAGATATAGCAACTGATCAGGCAGACTGAGCTGTAATCTTGTGTGAGCTTATGGGGGTGGGAAGATCCTCCGATTTGTAGATACTGCATCACTAATCTGGCTCGTCCTTCAAATCAGCGGTTGCTGGCTTTTGTTTAACATTTTAACTCAAGATCAGGACGTTTATTGTATGACTACCTGGTTTTCTTCACAGCCAGTTACCACCAATGCAGAATCTAACAGGAATCTTCTCATGTAAATACTTGCATTTTATTACTTTAGAAAATAAACCAAGAAAACACAGGCATCACAAAATGGCAAAGAATG